GCGCGCGTATATATAGTGAAGATTTTCCTCTCATTTGTATTCGTGGCGTTTAGTGTATTGTACTTTATTGTATTGTTCTATCTTTGGTGCGAATAAATATTTGGAGTAAGAAATAGACTCATCACACAAACCATTGGTTTGTGCATTTAGAATTTTCAAATGTGGTAGTGTACATGCTCGAAATATCTGTTTTACAGCGATAATTAATTGTTCCCAGTTTGAGTATGATTCTTGTAGATCCATGTCCGCAAAAGCATATCGACAAGCAAAATCTTTAAAATTTATAGTAGGTGGATATTGTTTACACCACTGTGGATCATAACAAATATAATAGGGTGTATACGTGAACATTAGTTCAGATGTGTAAACGAAATATATATGATTGTACAGCACAGGGTATGGTGGAAATAGAAATGGTTCATCTGGACAACTATAATCCAGCATTTGATATAGAGTATGCCAGGTCAATGAACACCTGGGTAGAATTAGATAGAAACATGCAATAAGAGATCCACAATCTGTAGAAAATCCTTTTATTGTAAATGATCGATGTATATTTAATAGATCACGTGGAAAACCGCACAATTCGCCATGTGACGTACATTGGTCATCACCACATGAAAATTCATTTGGAGGACACATTAATTCATGACAAAGAATCGATGGGTCACGCCGACAATAATTGAATACTGGTCCGTCTAGGATCTCATCACTCTGATCTAAACAATCGACATTTAAATCATAATAGAAACTAAGTGGTATGCATAAACCATTTCGACAACGAAATTCAAATGATTCGTCACATTCATTTATTTCTAACTGGAAACAATTTTCTTCGTCTTCGCCATTCACACGATCGATTTTGCCTTAAAACAAGAGAAAATTTGCTAGTTTCTTAAAACCATTTCGTTTCATCGTGTTTCTCATCATCCCTCTACGTCCTTCGCTCATTTATTGTTTCTCTACATATTTGCTCTTTATGGTTCATCTTTCTTTCTTACTACTTTATATTCATAATTTATTCGTCGATTCCTTTCTCTTCTCCCCATCTTTTCCAAACAATATTTTTTGAATTCATGTATTAAGTCCCTTCTACTAAGGCGCCGAAAATTCAAAAATATAGCAGGGTTTTATTTTTCATTCATCTGGCTGGATGAATAGACAAGTATTTTTAAAGTTTTGGAAAAAACCTGCTGTACTTAAAAAGCTTGAACTATGTGAAATCGTCTAATTTTTGGATGTTGATTTCAATTTGATGATTCCAACCCAAGTTTTTCTTATTTAGCATGCGAAACTAAATTTGGAAACTGTCTTTTGAAATTGATCAAACACATTTCAAGTTTTTGGCGCCAGAGCAGGAGCAATTCGAAACAATTCAGATCAACAGAGAATAGAATTCTGAACAAAATGTGATCTCCAATATGCTGTTGGCGAGATATGTCCTTTTAACAGCGCTTCTTTTCTAATTAAAAATTATTTAACTGGAGGGCCATGGAAACCTCAAGGAGGTCTCATTTTGTTTAGAATTCTATTCTCTGTTGATCTGAATTGTTTTGAAATGATTTTAGAAATCAAAAGTTTTCTGAAAAAGCCGGGTTTTTCAGCCGCTCACTTTTTAGTAAATTTGAAATATCTCAGCAATGGAGCAGACTTATAAGGAAGCTATACGTGACTTTGTTGTCAGCAGCGTGGCGATCATGATGAGATACAAACACAGATGGACGACTCGGACTCGAGTCACATTTTTCTGTGACTCGGACTCGAACTCGGACTCGAGAATCTTGATAAACTGACTCGAGCCACTTTCGAGTCAGTCACGTGCAACTTTACATTATTATGAGGATGTTAAACATATTTGTTATATACTATCAGAGAGAGAGGGAGATTTGAGAATATTCTGAATAGAACATCGCGTCACATGAGAGGAAGTGTTCAGCAGAATGAGTAAAAACGAATGCTTAAAACAACAGCAGTGAGTAGTAAGTTGTCTTGAAAAAATGAATCAAGAGGAAGACTACCACTAGAAAATGACTCGAGGTGACTCGAGTCAATTTTTTATGCGACTTGGACTCGAAGCCTGCTGACTCGGACTCGACTCGAACTCGAAAAAGTGGTGACTCGCCCATCTCTGGATACAAATGAGTAATATATCTCTTAACAGAAAAAACTAGATAGGTTTACAAAATGAAAAATCAGCGTTTGAACTGAACTGAACTGAATTTATTTCATCAAATACATGAAACCTACACACAAAAAGGAAGCACATGGTTGACAGGAAAGTAGGAAAAGTTAAATATTTATAATTAAGTTTGAGCTCCTGCTCTTGGCACCAAAACTTGAAATGTGTTGTTCAGTTTCAAAAGACGATTTTTCAAATTCAGTTTTGCATGTTAAATAAGAAAAACTTGGTTTGAAATCTTCAAATTGAAAGCATCCCTAGACAACGAAAACGGGATAAAAAATGGGTCGTTCATGGCTTATTAATGAGTCATTAATTGCCAATTAATTGGCCATGCTTTGATCATTAATGGTCATTTTTACATCACTTTTATCACATAAGTGCTGACTTTTATTTTAAAATGAATAAAGCACGCGAAAGTATGTTTCAACTCAAGTTAGGTTCAAAATAGCATACTCGGTCTGACCAAGGGAAGGTTTCCGTCTGTTATGGTGCCTCACTGCTGTTTTGAAAAGAATATAATTTCAAACAACCCTATGCGAAAGAATCTCACTGACTAAGACTGTTTTATTCACGAAAAGTGAACGTCATCAAAGGTCCTCGACCTGTAATAACTCAAGCCAAATAACACCAGAAGAGTAATAAAAAATAACAAAATAAAGAAGACAACTAAGGTATGTTTCGACTCAAGTTAGGTTCAAAATTGACATCATATCTAGGTCATTTTTGTATCATTAACTGATCATTAGTTGATCATCCTTCTGTCATATCATTAATTGGCTATTAATGGCTCATTAATATCTCATTTGCATTCACCTGTGTAACATCCAAAAATTAGAGGATTGTTTGAGATTTCACATCCTTCAAACTTTTTAAGCACAAAATGTTTTTCGAAAAATTTAAAAATACGTTTTCTTGTTCAGCTCGATATTGTCTATTCATCCAGCCACGCGTGGATGAATGAAAAATAAAAACCTGCTATATTCTTGAATTGTTACAGATTTAATAACACTGTTTTTATTAACGCCCTTGATCGAACGGTGCTTGAGCTACTGTGTGATGTTACTCGCAGATGAGTATGCTGAGCTCTTAGTCAGGCATGGGCGAGTCCGAGTCCTCACTGGAAGATTTTTTGGCGGACTCGGACTGGAGATTTTGTATTTTGAGTCTGACCTATTCAACTTTTAACACAAATGACAAAGAAAAATGAAAGGCGAAACAACAACACCTTATGTTTCACAAAAAATTGAAAATTTTGTTCGAGAGACGGACATGCGAAGTAAGCTTATTTTCGAAAAATCAAATATCTATCCAGGGCTCGGTAAATTAGAAAAAGAGAATAAACTACCCTCATCAAACAAGAATCTAAAAGGTTACCGGACTTGAAACAAACTCGGTGCTCCGACCTTAATGTTAAGCACTCTGCTTGAATTTTTAAGAACTCGGACTCGCCCATGCCTGCTCTTAGCACATTGATAAAGGTAAAATATTTACATTGCTGCATTGATGGCTCTTTTTATATTCCACTTTATAAAACAAAGCACAACTGTGAGGTCTACTCCTAGTCACACACAGGAAAGAAACAGTGGACGAAGAATATCGGCTCTAGAAGTAAGAATGAGTTTCTTTTGAAGTACTATCACTATTGCTAGAAACTAAAACCGTTTTATTTTCTATTCTTTAGCAATAAAAGTCGTATCGCACGGCAATGTAATGTTGCTTTATATAAGAGAGGAAAGTAGAGAAATGGAAATAGAACATTTTTTGTAGCTTCCGACTATTTACATATCGGCTAACAACTACTCTAGTGCACTGCAGTTCGGCAGAATCTGCGCTGTGCTTATTAGTTTGCAAAGGAAAGAATTTCATATTGCGGTCCTAACCATAAAATAAAACAACAAAAAGCCTTAGGTAATCCCGCTGAAAATGCATAAACAGAATATTCTTATTTACCTGACGAAAATACCTTTATATGTAGGGTAAAAGACGCAGAATTCATATTAAGAACAGAATGGTAATATAACAAATCCAGATCACCCTTGGTCCGCCTTTAGATTTTTTGCATGTAGCATTCTCAATCGAGAGCAGTAAAATCTTAGTGTACTTCTATGCGACAAAACGTAATAGTGGAAATAGTTTGTCCTATACTAACGAATTTACCTACCATCACATATTTCTCTCCAATCTAAACCGATGCCGTAACGTATGCATTCTAAACCGATGTAAGATGTTCCATTCGTATACTTGAAAATTTCACCATGATTTATTCTCGACTCAGTCTTTACTAAACTTTTTTTAAGAAATTGATTTTGAGCAAATTTTGTAAAATTTGACGTTGTCGTATCATTATCGTCGGTATCAAATTTAAATTCACAGTGCGGACCAAACCATGGTTTACGACATTTACAGTACACATAATCATTCATACGTGTATTATTTGTTTGTAAATAAATTTCATATTGTTCAACTATATCTACGGATGCAGACCACCAATTAAATAACATCTGACCACTAGTTATATTCATTTCATGTAATTCAACGAATTTGTATATATTTTCCACTGTTGCTTCATTTGTAAATAATGAACGATTATCTGTTTGTTGCTGTCGCAAACAATATGATGTAAACGTTATTGAATTAACAGTACCTGCCATATTTTCTGAAGGCGAATAATATTGTAAACAATCAGAATAATGTTTGCCATCGTCAAAGTTTGTATTGTATACTATTAGTTCAGCATTACTTAACAGTGTAGAAACGAACAATAACAGTAACGTTATTTTGTAAGCCATTTTTGTAAAAAAGAAAGGTGTACGGTAAAAATGCTTAGAACTATCGTTCATCTATGCTTATAAACCTGACTCTGATAAACTTTAATAAAATAAAAGAAATTGAACATTATGTCACTAAAAAAGAAAACATTTTGACATCGAATGTTAATAATGAAATGATTTTTGACTTGTAATTGCTAGTTTTGGATGATGTGAGTAGTAGCAATTACAAGTAAAAGTAGAGAATCGGGCTCTTTTTAATAAAAGACCTTTTCATTATTAACATTCGCTGTCAAAATGTTTTCTTTTTTACTGACATGTTTTATTTGTTACTCTTGAAAAGTGTTGAATAAGTCAGGCTACTGGTGCTATATATAACAGTTCTGCTAAACAAAATTAATCACTAGTTTTCCCAGCATTAAATGTTCAGACAAGAACGAAACGCACTTTTATGATTCGTTTGCTGTTCTGGAACAGACGAATGTTATTACTTATCGCGAAAATAATTTCCTTTTGCTCTTTACTATTTCAACACTGAAAGGTGTTATACCAGCGGGATAGGGTTTAACTGGTTCTGTGCGCTAATTAATAGAAATCCAAACTGGCTGACATACCTAATTAAGCGAGCCATTCTTCTTCTCAAAAATAATGCGAAATAGTAGAACTTTTTGCATAATAATTAAACAAATCGTGCACTACCATTTTCCTGCCAATTGCAACGGAAACAGACTTGAGCGCAAACAATAAACGTGAATTTGGCCCGAAATAGCTCTAAATAATTATCTACCTTCTTTTACATACATTTATAGTTGTTCTTTTTTGAGTGTTTTTTTAAATTTTTTGCTACTTCTGGTTCTAACCTTAGTTGTCTTCTTTATTTTGTTATTTTTCGGTCAATGCAGTTTTGTATGCTCTTTCGAATGAACCGTTGCGCGACTCGACACGACTAAAAATGGCGGAAAAAGATACAAAGTTCGAAAAGTTGCATTTTTTCACGATTTCTCATAGTGAATCTTTTTACCGAGCCTATAACTCAGGGGGTATTGGGTATGAAGGTTTTAAAATATTCGGATAACGCCAGTTTTTGGCGTAGAATCGAATGAGCTAATAAAAAATATATGTTAATTTTTTTCGTGTTACGCGGACGAGCTGGCAATTCCTCTCTTTCGTTATGTTCTGTTCTGTACCACTGACGTCATTATTTTTTTCATCTGTTTCTCGTATGTTCACCTATATGTAAATTTTATATATAAATGCATTATGAGAGAGCTGAAAAAGTCGACTTTTTTTACCAGACGGATTGAGCTGAAATTTTGGGTAATGAATAGCGACTATTAGTTAAAAATTTTCTACACTTGAAAAACACAACTCAGTTGTGTTTTTCAAGTGTAGAGAGGTAATTAGTTAGACAGTTGTTACTGAATAAAGTGAGCAAGATAGAAAACTATATGCCAACTACGCTCTGAGAAGATTGGAAGCCGACTGAGTGAAACATTTCTGGAACCTGTTAGCTTCTAGCTATGACATAAGCTACGCAGATAATTCATTTAAAACCGGGAATATCTCAGTGAAAGAACCTAGTGTTTTCTCCTTTAGCGACAAAAATATGTTTCGAGTTTTATTCACCTACATTTAGTTTCTACAGCATATTATTCACATTATCGTATCAGCTGATTCATTATGCAATCATACATTCTACTGTATAGCTTTCATCATATTAAGTACTATAGTATATATTCACTATGAAGGATATCATGTGACGATTAATTATCTCATAGGAGAAACTTTTTAAGTCCCAAATTTTGAGTGACCCTCCTTAGGGCATACCCCTGAGAAAACTAAAAAGGGTAACGCGAAAACAACCTCGGATGTGTCGTATACAGTGTGAGTTTTATATTCTCTTTTTTGTCCCAGCATTCTATGACTTGAAATTACCGAGATCGACGGGCAGTAAAACTCGATCGAGGTGTAGAGAAAGAATGAAAAACATGCGGTCTCTGGAGAAAAGCACTAAGCCGACAGCGAACTACGTTCACTCAGTCCGCTTAACTAGATGCTAACTGTCCTACGGGCAGATTGGAAACCCGACTGAGTGAAACGTTTCTTAGAAACACTATGGACACCGTGTAAATCCTCTAAATACGGTTAGAACATTGGAGTGTTCTAATAGTGAATGCATTCTATCGTTAGTAATGTTTCAGAGTATAAAGACATCAGATTATACAGAAGTATAGACTAATAAGTAGCATGTGGCTACTTAATGAGTCACTCTACACTGTTCATACTGAGTGTAGATGAAGTGTCATAGAAAAGTTATCGAAAATATGCTCAACTTTTGGGACTCATTACTTAATAATTAACATTAACACATAGATCAAAAAAATACCTTCAGATGTGTCATCTACAGCTGTTGTAGTCTCGAATCATCTTTTTACCAAATCTGTACGATCAGGGGTAGCTGAGAACGAGTGGCTGACTCGAAGTAGAAAGTAGGTCTAGAAGAAAGGAGAAAGAATAATTCGGCTTAAAGAAGAATTGTTTCTAGTGAAGCCGCTCCGAGTTTCACTTAAAGGCTCGGCTTAAAGAAGAATATGCGGACTCTGGAGAAAAGCCATACGCCGACTACTTTTCAGTCAGTTGGTTTAACTATCCAGTTTACATTTGGAAGCATAACAATTGGTGCACTAGCCGGTTTACTGTCAATCCAACATTACAGTCAGTAGAAATCCGTCTATTATTACAGAAAATCAATACCCTATCGATCGACACAATCCCAAATGCCAGAAGCAATTACTGCAAAATACTTACAACAAATATCAACCTTTCATGGCAAAAGTGAAGAAAATGTTATAGAATGGTTACATATTATTGATTATATATTGCAATTAGTTGAATTTAGTAATACACAAAATTTAAAATTTGCACAACTACATTTAGGCAAATACCCATTAACATCCCATTGGAACTTTTGGAAATAATTATAAATTAATGCAAACTAATTTAAAAGAGTCTCATATTAAATTAGTGCGCATTAATTCTTTTCTGATTAAAAATGAATTCAAATTAATTTAACTTGATAAATTAATTCGAACTGGCTAAAGTTCGATTGATTTGAATTAATTTATCAAGTTAAATTAATTTGAATTCATTTTTAATCAGAAAAGAATTAATGCGCACTAATTTAATATGAGACTCTTTTAAATTAGTTTGCATTAATTTATAATTATTTCTAAACGTTCCAATGGGATGGTATAATAACAAGTTGGGGTGGCACATTAATGGTTACTCGGCGTTACTTTACCAGATACAGTAACGAACTTAGTTACTCGTTACTACTATCCGTTCCAAATGATCAGACCGCTGGTTGCTTTTTGAATAACTTTTGATAGAAATGAGATAGAGACCTGCGATTTTCGCTGTTCAATAACCAAGACTTGAGCAGAACTTTTCACAAGCGGAAGCAACTTTTGAAAAAATTCCAGAGATCGGGTTTTCAGAGGATCTTTGTTCTCAGAAAACTAACATACAATGTTAGTAATTTTTTTGCATGCGTAGATAGTTCGGACGTTACTCTACAAAATTATGCAAGTCCCAGCTCTCTAGCTATCGTCGTTGGGGCAGGACTCGCTTTCCTCGAGCACGTGTCTACCTCCGAGCAGACACCTCTTGGAATCTCAAAATGCTATGGACTATAGATAATTGACTACGCTGAACATAGTAGCAACATTTGTTTTTATCTAGAAATGAATATAACTTCGCCAGAGACATTGTTATGAAAAACCTTTTTCGCCTGTTACTAGCAAAAATTAAAATCCTTATATGTCGATCAAATCTCATGCTGACTCAAGG